TTATAATTCCCCCCCTACATTCTAACACACGCGCGCGCGCCGCCGTCCGGTCGGGCGGGCTGGGCTGGGCCTGGGCTTGGGCGCGAGTGCATGGTATGAGGTTGGATTGGGCTTGTTCGGCCCAATACTTATTTTTTTTGAGGCCAAAAACATTTGTAATTTATTGATTTTTTTTTTTATAAATTTTGGTTTAACATTCCAAATAAATTGGTCCAGATTTTTCCTTCACCCAAACAGATCCCAAACAAGTTTACCCACCTGAACAGGTTCAAAGCAAGTTCGTACATGTTGAATTCAAACCGAACAGATCTGTATCTGTCCAAACAGGTTTTCTACTTATTGAATCTGTCTGAACAGATTCTTATCTGTTGGCACCTGTTCGGAAAAGCCACCTGCTCTTCTATATAAAGCCTTTCATTCCAGCAATTCTTTTGATCTAATTTTTTCCCTCAGAATTTCGTCTTTCCTATTCTGTTCATCTCTGTGTTTCTGCATCTGTTTTGCAATTAATTTTAGGAAGAAAAAGAGAGTCAAAACAGAGTTTTGGTTTGTCAGGGGCAGGGCGCGCGAGCCGAGGCCTCCGGGAACTCCAAACGAACACAAACATGGATAATCACCGAGTGTTCAAACGGTGACGTCCAAGTCTTGAGGACGGTCAAAAATGGGGTGTCTACAGGTTTTCAAACTAAAACTCGTACATGCATGAAAATGTGAATTAGACGAAGTAAAGAAAAACGAAATTGAACTGATACATTAAAATTTAAAAGTGATAGCGTGAGTCCGATTTAGAATCTTACGCAAATGAGCTGCGAACCCTAACATGGCTTGGGAAGGTATTTCGGCTCTTATCGGTGTAGGCGATATGAGGTTGGTGGTACGGGTGTCACAACATAGACTGTTCCCTTGGGACAAACCGTGATGTCACGACTCGGGTACGTAACCCTAGTGCGTGGGCATCATTGGTAGTTACAACAAGTAACATTTGAATATTTGACCAAGGGGGAGTCAGAATTGCCCGTGGCCATTGCTTAGCGGTTGAGTGGAAATAGTGCTCCACGGAAAGTTACTTAAACTTATCTGATAAACTAAATCTATCAGAATTTAAAAAGAAAAGAGGGCATTTTTCCTTATGATGAAATACCGCTTCTATTTGCCATTGTTTTTATTTTATTTTATATTATCTATTGTTATTATTTCAACTGATATCATTCATGTTATGCTTATTAAATGCCACTTGTTATTCTGTTACTGCACATTATTCATTAATTGTGAGTATTATTATCAGGGTGGGTATTTTCGGGTTGTAGTATCTTATTGAGCTCGTCGCTCATTGGCAATCCCATTGCCCTGGCGTTTTGCGATTGGCTTGGTTACTTTCCACTATGATAGCCCTATCCAATACATCCACATATTTCTGTACCTTTAACACATTAATCTTCTCAAGAATGGAGTCTCGAAGACCTCCCTCAAATTTCCTTGCCTTTTTGTAGTCCGTATCGATCAAATGCAGTGCGAAACGGGCTAACTCGGTAAACTTTGTTTCATACTCCGCTACGGTTTTGTTCCCTTGCTTCAAGTTCTCAAACTCCGACACCTTCCTGTCCCGGATACTCTGTGGGCGGTGCTTCTCATAGAAGACGTCCAAAAATTGAGCCCAATTCATTCCTTGGTGTTCTTCTCGGATAAACATCCACCAACGGCACGCCTTATCCTCTAGTGTAAAAGTGGTAAGCAAGACTTTCTGTGCTTCTGTGCATGGAAAGACTTTAAACAATTTCTCGATACCAAGAACCCAAGCCTTTACCTTTAGTGGATCAATTCCTCCCTTGAACGATGGCGGTTTCATCTTTTCAAATTCCTTTGTGAGAGTAATAGTTCGGTCGTTGGCTTGGTGGTCTTGCACTATAGGTGGTGGCACAGGCATTGGTGGCGGTGGTGGTTGTTATTGCTGTTGTTGTTGTTGCCTAAAGGCCTCTGCCATGTCCATGATCATTGCCTCTATTCTATCAAGTCGTGCAGAGGTTGAATCCTTCCCATCTTCTGCCCTTGTTCTCACCATGATCTAAAGGAACATACATTATAACTTTCACAGATAATATACACATAAGTTACATTTACAAATGCACATTTTCATGCCATACCTGATTATGAATGCATTATGGATGCAACTTAAACCCTTCCTAGACTTCTTATTGCTCACATGGGCTCATGTGTGAGATATTAACTCGTGCTCTGATACCACTCGGTTATGACCTGAACCCGCCCTTAAAAGTTTAGGTCATAACTGGCCTGTAATCACTTGATTACCTTCGGCCTCAAATAAACATACAGAGTAATTACAGTAATGGGGCCAAAACCGGAAGTATACAACAAAAGAATAACTCCATTGAGCTATGCCAATATGAGTAAAATGTAATACAATTACATCATTTACATGCCCATGCAAAAGAATATAAGTATCAAAGGAAATTTGTGCATAATGTTTACAAACCCAAGACCACATTAGCAAAACAAAATAAAGTCACAGTATGATGTGAGTCAAAGACAAAACTCCATCTTGGAGGCATGACTTGATTGGGTCCCAAAAGAATAGCTCCTGAAGCTAACTCTAGGGATGTGCTCCATATTACGGATTACCTACATGTGCATACATAAAATTGGCTAAGCGAAGCTCCATGAGTAATAATATAGTAAAATAGTGTAAATAGATAATCATAAGATTCTCACAATATCCATAATCGTATAAACAAAACGGCTTTAGGCCCAAGCACATTTCAAGCAGCCTCGGGCCCAACATATAACAAAACGGCCTCGAGCCCAACATATTTCAAACAAATCACAATGTCGGCACCAATCACCGTTCACAGTACACAATAAATAACATATATGTATGATATTATTACTCACAGTGGGATCGATCTTGTGGCGTTTCCTCCGGCACATGACCTACATCAAACATGCCACAGACATATTCGATAAATAATTCGTTCATCATATACACTTTTGTTTTGGCGATTCGCAACCTTTTTCAATGGTTTCTAATCATCATTTCACTCCCAAAAGGGTTTAAATAAGGTTGGGAATGCGTTCCGGAGATCAGGAGTAATAACATAAAACAACACAGATTTTTCCCTGCTTGGCCGCACTTGCGGCCAGTCTAATCGCTCGAACAATCTGGCTTCGCACGTGTGGAAATTGCAGCTGCTCGAGCGCAAAGTGAGACCCATTTTTAGTTCAAGGCATGGGCCGCTCGTGCGGTGCCCGTGGCCGTACGAGCGGTCTGGGTACACACAGGCAGTCCGAAAATTGCTCAAAAATGCAAACCTTGCAAACTCATTTCCAAGCGCAAATCAAAGCAAAACTCACTCAAAACATGATATCTAAGCATGAATTAGGTATAATTTCACATTACATACATCAATCTTGCGTCACCATTAGATTCATGGTGTTATCTTTTCACAAATTCATGATTTACATAAGTTCAAAATACATATACACACGAATAATATTCCAACTAAATCATCTAGGGTTTGTTTCAGTGATCAATCACAAGAGTAAACTCAAATCAAACAAAGATGAAGAGATTAGGGTTCAATTTCATGTATTAAGCTCTGGTCATTACATAGCTCAAAACCCTAGCTCAAAACTCCCAATTTCTTCTTGATTTCATGACGATGATGAGTTAGAGACAAAGATTGTAAGTAGTTTTCCATACCTTAACTCAAATCTATGGTTTGCCCCTTGATTCTCTTGCAATCCCTAGCTCTTCCTCTTCTCCTCTCTCTAACTCACTCTCTAGAGCTCTCAACAAAGATAAAGAACACAAGAGGACCAACACATATATGACTTAACCCTTAAATTTCCAATTTCATCATTACGAATCGTAATTTTTCAAAATTTCATTGTAAGCTCTATAAATCATGCTAATCATAGACATGAAGTCAGTTTTTGTTTATCGCGCCTCTAAGGCTTTCAATTTCAGTTCAAAGTTATAATTGTAACAAATATTCCTATGTTCAACAGATATTATTTCAAATTCACATATTCAAACTTGCAAATTCATATTAAACATATAATCACATGTATAATTAAGTAGCGTACGGGTTGGATTATCATAGAAATGTTATTTCATGAATAATGAATGAATGTCTAATTTTCTGAAATGTATTTGTGGCATCCTTAGTTCACATGACTCTCACCTAGGGGAAACAATACCGTGGCATATGTTTACATGGCTCTCGCCCGGGGAAAACAATACTGTGGCATATGTTTATTTGGCTCTCGCCTGAGGGAAACAATACTGTGGCTTATGATCATATGGCCCTTACTCGGGGAAAACAATACCGTAGTTTATAGATGGCCCTTGCCCGGGAAAAACAATACCATGGCTACTTGTGCACAAGATATGGACCTTTGGGATCGTCGGTACCGACTATGCATATGGGTCCCAGGAGCAAGATGATATGATAGCTAATGGATGTACCACATATAACTGCTTATGACTTCTGGTTATGTATATGAATCTGTTCTGATATAAACTCTGATTTTTGAAATTGTTTGGACACCATTCATAAACCCCTTTACTCTGTTGTTATTCACTGGATTCTAGCTCACTGTATTATGTATGTATGTAGGTGATCAGGCGCGTAACCAGGCTCAGAGTTGATTGCCTGGAGTTTCGTTCTGTCAGCTAGCCACAGTGCCTCCCGAGGGGTTCCCATTTTGCAGTAGTCAAGTTTTTATGAATCATGTTAAAGATCTTTTTGTATTTCTTTTGTGAAGTCTGAACAAGTCTTTTGTTTGTCCGTATGTATGAATGGTGACGTGGGTATGACGTCTTAATTCTGTAAATTAAGTTGTAAATTTCAGTCTCATATATGTCTACACAGCTCTATGGACGTTATATGTTTGTATTTGCTTCCGCTAGCCGTTGTATTTTATTTATTTGTTCAGAGGTCTTTGATAATCTCAAAATTACTGGCCGGTTACGACTAAACCTATACGGGCTGGTTTGGGTCGTGGCATTGTACTATGCATATGATATATTTAAAGAAGGGTATTTTAGTCATTTTGTTTGAACTTGTCTTTTTGAACAAAGTATTTTAGCCCCTGAATCCTCGACCAAATAAAATTGAAATTTAGATTTATGGACCAAGTGTCCTTTATTTATAGGAGTTGTTTGCCTTGCCCTAGTTCTTTGTTTGGTGGGCCTTTTGGTTGAATTAGGCCATTCTCAGGCCTAGTTTGGATTAGGCTAAAGTAAATAAGTATATTTTAATCCTCACAACTTTCTTTTTATTTTTCCTCCAAAAAATTCAAAACCTCAGCCTTAAGGTTTGGTAGAGAGTTTGATAGTGTTTCCCTTGCAACACAGTCAAAAGCATAGTTAAGAAGATTAAAGGCAAAAGAGTTTGAGGGAAAAAATATTAATAAATGTTGAAAAAAGCAGAAGAGGTACAAGAATAAGAAGATTGTTGGAATGAGTCTAATGGTTTTGGATCAATAAGTGGACAATGTTGTGGAAGAATCCATTTCACTGTTAGATGACAAAGTCAAATGCTATTACGTAGGGAAACGTAGGGAAACCTTTAAGCTTGTAATAAAGGATGATAGTATTAACATTTATAATTATGTTCAAATCTCTTTTATACCATTTCACAAATTTGTCTATTCTGCGCTTGATCTTTTGCCCCAATATACTCTCAACTACAATATTATTTTTGCAATTTTTTTGTAAGATCATGCGATTAAAAATGCATTGATAAAAGAGATACAGAGATTTTTAGGACATATAATTTTTGTTGTTTTATTCCTACTCCAATCATTCTATACGTGATGCAATTAGAATTTTTTTATATGCTTCAAGAGAAAAGTTAGGGATTATGAAATTTTTTTTATGAAAATGATCATGAAAGAGTTATGATCCTTGGATTACCTTGATTAGTGTATGGTGCTTTGTTCTAAGTGTAATCCAAGGATCACAAAGCTTTCATGATTATTTTTATGAAAGGTTTTTCATGATGACTAGCATAGTTGATCCTTCAATTTTGACCTGATGGTTCAATTTAAAAGTTTTATGTATAGAGTGTTTAGTTTCTTTGCTTTTCAAATATTGATTAATTATTTTGTCATTTTTTTCTTAATCCATTTCCTTTTCATCCCCCAAAAAAATTAATTGATAATTTTTTTCAATCATTTCTGATTTCACTAGGTGGTTGATTTTTAAAGACTTGTTTTCGAATGGTTTTTCTTCACTTTTTTGGGTCAATTAGTAGAATATTTATTTATAATTATCATCAGAATTACATTAAATGGAACAATCAACTTTATCATGTAGTCCAACAACAGCCCAACAATGACAAGTCGTCAATACAAGAAAAAACTTAATAATGTGAACGAAACAAACATTCACATAATGGGGGAGAAAATAATAACAATCATTGTATTTGGTTTTAGTTTTTTGAATTTAGTTTTTTAAAAATTGAGTTTTTTATTTTTCATGTTTTTTTGTTTTTAGTGAATAATTTTTAAATTTTAAGTAATTTTTTTACTTTTTTAGATGCACCTTACTTAGATATATCTAAATAATAAAATATTTGTAAAAAATTAATAAATACATAAAAATAGGAAAAATGTACTGAATTTTTTTTTTTTTGTATTTTTGATATTTAGTGAATGTTTTAAATATTTTTTTCACAAATATTATACTTTTTAAGTGTATTTATGTTAGGTGTGTCTAAAAATTAAAAAAATTACTTAAAATATTAAAAAAATTCATTCAAAACAAAAAAATACATAAAATAAAAAGTAAAATTTTTTAAAAAATGTTTTCCGAAAATCAAAACCAAAAAATAATTTTTTAAAACTACCCAATCCCACTTCCAGAAAAATCTAACTTGAACAAATATTGAAATTTCCAAGGTT